TAGCCATCTCTTCTTCGCGGGGTATATCTACGGCAGCAGCTATTTTCTTCGCACCTCACTTCGTACGAGGATCGAGAAGTATGCATACCATAGCTTCCTTCGTCACTTCGGGAAACCGCACTTGCAAATGTAGTAGGGTTCTCCTCAGACACGCTTTACCAGCTTCCGAGAACTGGTCAAACCTTCGCACCACCCGGCGATGACTCGCTCCATTTCCATCCTTGAATCGTGGTGCTTCGATGGCCATCGCGTCAAATTTGAATGATTTGAGTTTCTTCTCGGCTAGCCGTCGGAATACCACCATGTAGGAAGATACTAGGTTCTCACTCTGCGCCTCGACCAGCGCCAAGCAAGTGGTCATGTCTGTCGCGACTGAGCATGGGAAACGCTGGGTCGCCTGTAGCTGCGCGCATCATCTCCTCGAAGGGCGCCGATCTGCAGGCCGGAAATGGTATTCCCTGCGTAATTAGCCACTTCGAAATCAGCACGTGCAGCGTCTTTTCGCTTGCTTTGAAGAAACGCTGTGGGGACTTGCATGTATTAGTTGCCATCGTAGAACCAGTAGTAGCCATCTCGGACGTCTTTGGCTCTTACCCCGAGTCACCTGTTAGGTCTAGCACTTCTTCAGCGGCAGCTTCTGCAGCAAGAACGTCGGTTTTGGCTTTTGAGCTGTATTCTGCTCTGCAAGTACTGCCAAAGGATGATCACCATGCTTCGACTTGATATGATCCTTTGCATTATTGGTATTCCTCGTGCTGCGCAAAGCTTGCTCCCAGCTGTATGGTGTGAGCTTCTTCCGGGACCTAATGTCATCACAGCAGAGCAGACGAATGTTGCGATATACCTGAGTAGACGGCTTCCACGGGTTTCGCTTTGGTACAGTTTATCCAACACGTGAATAAGATCCCAAACAGGATCAGTAACACCAACCTTCCTCGAATGGATCACATATAGCGGTACACCAAGGTCAGATACTGGTGACGACTGGGGCGGAGGCACCTCTGAAGATAGACCCACATCCACACGCGGCCTAGCGGTTGCAGACCTGGAAGCTTTTCCCTGCGCCGCTATTTTCCGGCGCTTGGCTGGACTTCTTGCAGTAGAGGTGTTCGACCCGGGGCCGACTTCCACGGACGGTACAAAGTCGGAGTCGGAACCAGCCTAGATGTTGGTCGATGAGGTCGAAGAAGAAGCCGCGGGTCGCGTCGCTGCATTTATCACGGCTGGCGAAGGGGCTCCTGCGCTCGGGTAAACGGTTAGTACGCACGGTTGACTGCAGAATCTACGACTCAGTAGAACGTATGCATCAGTGTTAGACTCAGAAACTGAACGCAGTACCTTTCATTTAGCGCCGAGTTGTCTCCTTCAAACACTCCAATTGCACACATGTGATGAGTGGGCTTTCCGCATACACTGCAAGGGTCTGTCTTGAGCTCTGGACCTTCCGCACAGCCGTCAACAGCACAAGGCATCCTTCAGTCGTCGTATTCTGGTCATTGGTGGGGGGCTGCGACGATCGCAATGGCGATATCCAGTTATTTTCTGGAATACCGGACGACGCAGGACAGCCACAGGTTCTAAGATTGCTAAATGAGGGACCGTTGCTTGTTCACCGGCTTCCTGAAAAATAGTACTGTTCAGAGTACTATAGTACCGCCTCCGAGGGTAATACTATTCAAATACTACTCTGTCCAGAAAAAGTTGCACGAAAGTGCTTTTCCTAATTTCTATTCGCCAAAACAGTGTAAACGTGTTTGTAATGGGTAGAAATGAATTGTGCGTCCGATGTGCTTCTCAACGGTGTGCTGGGCTCGCCACAGTCCGCAAAATTGGCTCTGAACCAGTCAAATATGTGGCGATTGAGGGGCAACTCCGCCCGTGGGAGAGATGTACATTTAAGATTTCCCCC